ATCATTCCAGAACATCTTGCAATTTATAGTGAATCAGAAGGCCAGGCTTCCTACTTGATGTCCCCCCCACCCCCCCAAGGTTCCTTAAATCTCTCCGCCCTCTGCATTTAAGCCCTGTGGAAACAAATTAGGTACAACATTCTGCCATCAACCCAGGATAAACCTCCGCTTAAAGACATAATGTAGTATTTGCAGGCACATCAAAGAGAATTTGGCCTCACGTACCCAAGGCTGTTCCAATCCTTGTACAGCAAAGACAAGAGAAAGTGATTTGGTTCGCCCAAGTCTTTCAAGGCGTCCACTGGCCTGTGAGACTTTTTTTCTAATACGTGACAAATCTACAAAAACCTATTCCCCTCATCTCCTTTATATCCAAGGGTTATCATCATCACCTGGTAGTAATGATGTCAATGTATCACCAGGCTAAGGCAGTGGTCGGCAAACTCATTAGTCAATAGAGCCAAATATCAACAGTACAACGATTGAAATTTCTTTGGAGAGCCAATTTTTTAAAATTTAAACTTCTTCTAACGCCACTTCTTCAAAATAGACTTGTCCAGGCTGTGGTATTTTGTAGAAGAGCCACACTCAAGGGGCGCCAAAGAGCCGCATGTGGCTCGCGAGCCACAGTTTGCTGGCCACGGGTAAGGTATTCTAGAAATTGTAAAACCCAGAATGGGACTAGTATGAAATCTGGAGATAATAACATGAATGACATTCACCATTTTTTGAATATTGAGACATTGTGCTTGGTAATACATTTTCACATGGACTCCTTCCATTTATAGCTCCATTAGGTAATGTTGCCATCCCTTTATAAACAAGAAATTAAGGTTCAGTACAGCAGACTGCATTTTCCAAAGATGGCCACAACCCACTCCAATCTAAACACCTGTCCATCCGAAAATGGAATCCCTTTCTTCACCCTCTTGAAACTGAGCAGGCTCCATGCATGGTTTAGCCAGTGAAATAGATGAAAGTGACAGCCTGCCAGTTCCAGGTATAGTTAACGGGCTGGAAGCTTCTTCCATTCTCAGCCAACAACCTTGCTGAGCGCTCAGCAAGGCGCCCCCTTCCCCCAACTGAGTCTTCAGGTAACTCCAGCCCCAGCTACATTTCACTACAACCTCAAGAGAGATGGAAAAAGCCAATTGCCCAGATGAGGCTGATCACATCACAGGACTGTCAGATATTTACAATAAAATTCTGATTTAAACCACTAATTTTGGGGGGCTTTGTTTTATGTAGCAATAGATAGCGAGAATGTGGAGATCATTTACTTGTCTGGGAACAGTTCAGAATTATAGCCAGAATCCAAAAGGGTCCAGGGCAAAATATCTATTAATGCTGGCCAATGGGCTGTGGGGGTTCAGTACCCAAACGCAGCAACTGTAAAACAAAGCTCCCTTTTTCTTCCTCCCTCGCCCTTATGTGGCCTCAGGGTTTTCTGAGAAATGTGCGATAACACCCTCAATAACATCAATTCCCTTCAGGCTTGAGTTCTTGCGATATAAAATAGGGAAAATAAGGTTCCCCCCGCCGCCCTGTGATACCTAATGAGAAAGGAATCTGTACAAGATGTCGACTTTGTTACTCAGAGCATCATTACAACCGTCATATAAAAGGATTCAGATTTTATGTGTGAAACTCTAACTCTAATAATAAAAATATATTTAGTGACTCAGGGAACTACATTTGAGATTCACAGTGACTATGGGGGGAAATGCATTCTATACCAATAAGTGAATAAGACGAGAGGAAATTTTAAAAAGATTTTTTAATGAAAGAAACTTTGAGGAAGAAATGAAGTAATAAAATTGATCTTCAGATAAGTTTCAGTAGGAGAAGAGGTCCATCATTTAAAAAACATCCAATATATTGCCAAAACCGGTTTGGCTCAGTGGTAGAGCATTGGTCTGTGGACTGAAAGGTCCCGGGTTCGATTCCAGTCAAGGGCATGTACCTTGGTTGCGGGCACATCTCCAGTAGGGGGTGTGCAAGAGGCAGCTGGTCAATGTTTCTCTCTCATCGACGTTTCTAGCTCTCTAGCTCTCTCCCTTCTTCTCTGTAAAAAATCAATAAAAAAATATATTTAAAAAACAACAACATCCAATATATGCTACTTTCGGCATATATTAATACCCACCTCTGGTATTCTTCTTTCCCAGCATATTGGAACTCAATGGGCTCATTCTTTTTTCAGAACTAGAAAGAACCTTACAACGTGTCCAATTCCTTTCATTTTAACTGCTGAGAAACTGAGACTCAGGGCAGTCAACTGAGCAGCAAGGAGTCAAACTGCTCCTTAGTAAGAGAACCAAACTCAGTGCTGGCACTACTACATTTTTCAATTTTTGTTTCACCAGAATTTTACCTCCAAATGTCTTCAATGTACTTCAAGTTTATTCTAGCATTTCACAGTGTGAACATGAAAGATGAGGATAGCATGCTGTTGTCAATCTCCTCTTCCTAACTGCATGAGTTGCAAGGGTCTGCTCTTTCTGGCGGTCACAGGGAGGAGGATGACTCTGAGCAGAGCATAGGTGTGCAGCTCTACAGAAGCAGGCTGCCAGGTGACTTGATCCAATTCTTCAGTCACTAACATCCTAGTCTGAATTACTCCCATCAAATACCAGGGCTGCCTTCCTGCTGATCACCACTAGAGACCAGGGTACTGACAAACTGGGAGACTTAAACATGGGGTAATTCTGAAGCAGAAGGCAGGATTGGAAAGGTATGAGGGTTAGCGGGAGAGGGGATCTGAGTGGAAAAGCTTTAGGCAGAGAAAGGAGGAAGAGGGAGAACAGAAAGCAGAGGTGAGGGAAGAGCCATTATAACAAAGGCATCTATGTAACAGTTCTGCCTCGGGCAGCTCAGTGAGTTCCAAAGCCTACATCTGCTCTCAGGCTTCCCACAGAACTTCAAGACCTTCAAAATCAGATAAGATGTGGCTCTATGCTTGAACTGTCAACGCAAACACTCTGCAACTCTTTGAAGATCTCCATAATTCCACAGGTTTTGCTACATCCTAACCCACAGAAAATACTGAATTTGCCTCTGCGCACTGCACAAAATTATACCAAGCTGTCAGGGAAACAGGCCCAAATCCCTTTATTTCTTTTCTACCTCCTGCTATGAAACTGCAGCAGAGTCCCTCTGTGCTTTTTGTTGCCTTGGCAGCCAAAATGTGCAACTTTTGGAAGTGTTCAAGTAGAATCAGAGGCCTGGGCTCACTACCCCAATATGGTCCGGCCCCCGTTTCGTCGTCCCTGACTCTCCACGTCAAGAAGTTTCGAGTTCCGATAAAATCAAAACACCTCACTCAGAAATGTCACTCCCCATCACTTTTAAACTCTCCCAGCTGCGAGGGGAGGGCGGGGAATAAAGAGCAAAAACAGAAAATAATTTCATTTTCATATATCTGTAGCAGTGTTTGCAGGGAGAGGGTGACTGCTAACAGAAATAGTGTACAATAACTGGCAAAAAATAATAAGTCCTGTGAATGACTGCCTAGGATATTTATTCACGTGTGCCTCATTATCCTCATCAGTCCTGAGGACAGATGACATGCTGACACGGTGTGGTCTCCAATCTCTCCCATTTCCTTTTGCAAAACATCTATGACCAATGCAAGATGCTCCTGTAGAAAATAAAAAACAGCCTGCTAATTGTGTGGTAGAAAAACAAAACAACAACAAAGAGCTGTATTGATAACTATTTTCACAGATTTATATGTTTACAGCAAAATGGGCAAAATTAAAGGGACCCAAAATAAACACACCCTGTGTTCAGGCTGCTGTGGGTTATTTATTGATCCTGCGTTTGCATGATTGTATTTTCCACGCGGAACCTTACGAAGAACAGCAACTTGGAGAGCCCCCCAGCCAGCCACCATCTTTACTTCCCATAGGGCAGGGGGAGCGCCCGGGGAGGATGGCATGGGATGGGGAGGCCAAACAACACGGTCCTCGAACCCTTCCACCCCGGTCCTTGTGGACTCTTTGGCTGGCTGCCAAACACATTCGTGAGATGAAGGCAAAGAATCCAAACAAAACAAAAGAGCAGGCGTCCCAGCCTTCATTACAATAGGTGTCCGGCACATGGTAGTGCCAGCAGAGCACGGTTTGACTCTTAGCGTCCAAATCTTTTGCTCTGCCCGTATCCCCAATAAAACACGTCTCGCACCCCTTCTCCTCTGCCATTTCTCTCCCCCCCCCCCCAAAAAAAAAAAGAAACAAATGTTGCCGGGATCTTGTCATCCTGCCAGACACAGAGACACACATCCATCCACCTCACGCGCCCGCCGGCCAGTCCATTGTGCGCCAGGAGCGCTTTCCAGCCCCAGGGGGAGAGCTTGCGGGAACCGTTATCCACGGGAACCTTACAGAGCCACAGACCGCGGCATCCGCATCCCACACAAAAGCCCGAGATGATGAGATGGTGCAAGAAGATACACGCCGCCGAGCTCGGCACCGACCAGCCATGGCCACGCCGAGCCGAGCCCTCGGCCAAGCAGAGCCCGCTTAGGAGCTGGACCTCGGGGTCGGCGGTGCCCGCTTAGCCTTCCCTGTTATGACACCGCGCTCTGCCCGACATCCGCCGGGAGCACATCTCATTCGCGTTGGTTGCTCATTTTTCCAACTGCCCAGCCCTTTCTTCCATCCGCATCCTTCGTCGTCCCTCCGAAAGGGAGCACCCCAAGGCCTGAGTGCTCTCTCTCCGGTTCGGTTTTTCTTTTTTCTTTTTTCTCTCTCTCTCTCTTTTTTTTTTTTTTTTTTTTTTACCTCTTCCCATTCCTAGAAAGGATGAAATGTTTCCCCAGCGCGCCAGCTGGAGAGGCGGAAGGCGAATGCCTCTCCAGGGCTTCAGCACGCGCCCCGGGGCTGCGAGAAGTGAAGGCGGCCAGCCACGCGGGGGGGGGGGGGGGGGGGAGGGAGGTGGTCGCGAATCGATCGGCCACCCATAGTTGAAACCCCCCCCCCCGAAGCGCTCCAACTTACCCAGAATATGACATTGAAGCCAAAGATGAAATATTTGATGCAACAACTGACTTCAGGGCCCTTGTAGTGCTTCCCGGACATCCTCTGGGTTCATGAAGAGACACTTGCCCCGGCAGCCCGAGTCCGGAGCCCGGGAGGGAGCACCGGGGCTCGCTCGGCGCAGCCCACGGCGCGCGGGGCTCGGGGCCGCCGCTGGGAGGGGGGTGTCAGAGGGGCCGCGGCGCGGCGGCCCGAGCTGCTCGGCGCGGGGGGGACCGGCCGAGAGCGGCTCCTGCACCTCCAGCCCCCGGCACGCCCGCCGAGGCCGCCGGACCCGGGTGCAGGCAGCGAGGGCGCAGGGAAGCCGCCGCGCGCTCCGAGCCCGGAGCCTCGCCGGAGCAGACCCGGCACCTGGCGAGCGCCCGCGTCCGTCCGCCTGTCCGTCCGCCGGGCGATCAGCCCGCCGATCTGTCTCTGGGCTCCGGGCGAACGCAGCCGCGGCTGATGCTGCCGGGGAAGCTCTCCGCCCGCCCGCCCGGCGGCTCGCGCGCGCCCCCCCGCTCCTCGCTCCGCCCGCCGCTCGCTCCACCCGCTGGGCCGGGGCTCCTCCGCCCGCCGCCCGGCTCCACCCGCCCCGAGCCCCCGCCAGGCGCGCGCACGAGCCGGCGCTCCCGGGGCCGGGGCACCGCGTGGCCGCGCCGCCGCCTCCAGGCTCTCCGCCCCGCCCGCTCCTGCCTCCGCCCCTCCGCCGGCGGGCCGAGCACCACCGACCCTTGAAGGAAGGAGGGAGGGCGCCCGGGAGCACGTCGATGGGGAGCAGCCTGGCGGAGTGACCGCGATCGATGAGACTGATGGACAGGGGTCCCCCTCCGCCACACGCGCCGGCAGCAGCTTCCTCAGGCTCCTGGGGGAGAGGGTCACTCCGGGGCGAGAGGTCACTCTGAGTGAGTAGGGACCCAGGGAGCCCCCTGCCGCAGGACGAGCCCCGCCTCTGGGTATAAGGACCCTCACACCCTGTCCTGCAGCACCAGGTTAGGGGGAGGGGGGAGAGATCTAGGGTCTGGGGAAGGGGGAGAAAAGAGCGACGGGAAATGGAGAGGAGGGGAAGGGGAGATCAGGTGGGACGACGAATCGGAAGGGCTGCAAAGGAAAGTCTACTGAATCCCAGTGTAGCTCCATCCCAACCTCTCCACCTGCCAGAGTGAGCTTTAACCTCCTAGTGAGGACAGGAAGGAGACATGACCCAAAGGAGTCCCGATCAGGATGGGACCCTTGCCCTGGGATAAGTTGCAGCAACACAAACCCAGATAGCAAATGCTCCCGCAAGACAGAATAGTGTCCCGGGAACTTGACTGGTTCCTAACTCTTAAGAAGTCCAGGAGTTTCAGGGCGGCCATCTGAGGATTCCGAATAGCCGTTACAGGTCAGGAGCCATTAAATCTTTGGCCTCTGGAGAAGGGTTAGAAGGGCGGCTCTGGAAGTAGTTTGAGAGCCCTACCTGAGGTGTTGCCTCTCTGCCCTGGAGCACACTCACAGGTGTTAGCAAGCGATACAGGTAGGTCCTTCAAGAACAAAGAACCACTCAGACTGTGAATAAACATCAACGGGTATTTTTTTAAGGCTTCAAAAACTAGAAAGAAAGATGGGATGAGGAAATGTTTCCAGCACAACGCCCGGTAACCCGGTACTGGGAACAGAACTCTGCACGGTTCCTTGACTCCCCAGGTGACACTTATGAGCACTTAAATTTGAGAAGCTTTGGCAAAGGTTTTCCCTACTTAACCACCGCTCTCATTTCTCAACAACTGGCTAGCTGGTTGACAACCTGCAGTGTAGCTCTGGAGAGGCAAAACGTTATGTTTTCGTTCCATAAACCACCATTTGAGATAGGCGTGGCCTTGGTAGAGATTGATGCTTCTACATTGAGGTCAGTGGTGGGCGCCAGGGTACTCACACAGGTGGGAGAGCCAGGAGATCCTACCCATTCAATACCACAGAAGTAACTGACACTGGCTAACTTTGGATGATATAACCAACCTTTTGGATAAAATAACTGCCTCAAAAGTGCCTTCCACCCACCCAAGACGCACAGCATACTAGCACCAATCTTCAAAGGTAAGGTCTGCTTTCAGCAGCAGATTCCCTATGAACCGGAAAGCACTAATAAGCTTTACCTAAGCCTATTTGGGCTACATTGTAATTCTTCCTATATAAATAGAACAGTTACTGCAGATTCTTGAATAAGTCAGAAGCAAGGTCTGTCTTAAGTGGATGTGACACATTTTAGAAAAGGACCGGAAATTGGGTCTAATCAATATCTGAGTTGATCCTTAAGCAGGATTTACTTTTGAAATAAAAATAAGCAGAGAAGGGAAAGTTCAGATAACCCATTGGTAATATGGAGAGGAGTGGAAGGGGAACTAGTTGAATCCTCATTTCATACATCAAGAGTAAATCCTATGAGTTAAATGTGTTTTCTAAAGCAAACCAGAAGAAAATAGAATATTTGTTAAACTTCTGGCTAGAAGTATTCCTCATGGAAGCAAAAGGAGGAAATGATCAATAGATATGACTGGACAATAAAACTTCTATGTGCCAAACGTTTTTTAAAAAGGCAACCTAAGCCAGAGAAAAAATATTGACAGCAAACATTTTTAAGAGCCTGAATATCTTACCTATCTTATAAGTAGGGCTCAAACAACTGAAGTGAAATATAGTGTCCCAACGATTGAATGTAAACAGAAAACAAGCCAAATACAAATAAATCAAATAGTAAACAATCAATGGTAAAAATTAAACTTTCTGGTAACCAGAGACATAAACATTAAAACAAATTAAAGCTAGAGATATAAAGATTATGAGTACTGGTTTGTTCATACACGACTGGCGTTAGGAAACGATACTGTCCAATTGGAAAGCATTGGGGCTATACGTTGCAAGTTAGAAGGCTCCTACATTTTGTCTCAGCAGTACCACTTCTGGGAATCTAGCCAAAGAAATACTCCCAAATAGGGAGAAGTTATATAATATACTGCAAGTTGTACATCATAGCATTATTTATATTGAAGACTTGGTCACACTTAAAGATCCTATCCCCAGCCAAAACTGGTTTGGTTCAGTGGTAGAGCGTCGGTCTGCGGACTGAAAGGTCCGGGTTCGATTCTGGTCAAGGGCATGCACATTGGTTGCGGGCACATCCCCGGTAGGTGTTATGCAAGAGGCAGCTGGTCGATGTTTCTCTCTCATCGACGTTTCTAGCTCTCTAGCTTGCTCCCTTCCTCTCTGTAAAAAATCAATTAAAAAAAATATATATATATATATAAAAAAAAGATCCTATCCCCAGCTCCTTGTAACCACCTGGACCACAGTGCTACTTCCTGTTTCTATGCCTCTGTGCATGTGATTCCTGGTCTCTGCCTGAACACTCTCCCTGCCTTTTTCTCTGAGCTGCCTCCTCTTCCTTCTATACTTTAATCAGTGTTTTCAAGACCAGCTCATGTATTCCCTCCGCATTTCCTACAGTCTTCCATTTTGGCACTGGGAGGCTACCTGTAATTACTTGCTTACCAGCCCTTCTTCTCTACTCTGTTGTGACTCTTTCAAGGGTGTGGTCCACCTCCTTTTAATCTTAGAATCACTAGCATCCTACTTATGTGGCAGGTGCTTGGTGGATATTTACTAAAGGAATGGGTGGATCATTTACTCAGACTTTTTATAGATATTAAGGATACTGATTATAGAGATATGTGCCAATGTGTGAACACATTCTAAAGATAAATTTTAAAGATAATATGTATAGAATTATCTCAAAGGAATATTGTTAAGTGAAAAAAATCATGATGCAAAACAGTATATACAGTAGGCTATCATTTTGTAAAACAAGTGTGTAAGTAAAAGAGATTGGAAAATCTATTTACACACTGGAGGCCTGGTGCACGAATTTGAGCATGGATGGGGTCCCTCGGTCTGGGCAGTGATCAGGGCAATCAGGGCTGTCTAGCCCAGTCCAGATCAGGGCATTGAATATCTGCCCCCTGGTAGTCATTGTGCGTTATAGCTAACGGCCGGAACTGGTCCTAACAGTCACTTAGGCTTTTATATATATAGATTATTTCCTGCTAATGGTTAGCCTACCTAGGGATATAGATATATATTTTTAATATACCCTTTTGGTTGTTATCAAATTTTGTAGCATGTACATGATATACATGTTTTGAAAAATAAATCACTATAAAATCACAAGCAATTATATAGAGTTAATTCTTAACAAATAATAACAGTTGTTAGATTGTGTGATTGTGGGTGATTTTAGTTTCATGTTTCTGGTTTCCAGGTTTTTTTTAATGTAGTTATGTTGCTTTTACAACTACGAAGATTAAAACTATAAACAAAGACAATCATTCTGTTTATTTCATCACAACCCCTTCATGACTCCATAAATTCTGGTCTATTTTAAGGAGAAAAGAGTGAGTAATTTTCTCCCTGGAGACAGTTTCATCCATTTCCTTTATAATTCCAAGATTGAAAAATGGTTAATAAGTTTACTCAAATGCTCATCAGCCTGGCAACTGGCAGTAAGAACAGGTAAAGCATGTTTTTTTAATAGTTACCTATGTAGCTGAGCAGCAAGATATGACAACAGCATTGTTTAATGAGCTTGTCTGTCTGCCTCCCTTCTTTCTCTGTCTCTCTGTCTTTCTTGCTCCTCTAGTGCTATATTCTTCTTTTCCTTCTCTGTAGCCAACACTACATGTTCCTTCTTCTCAGAACCCCGGTGCCGTTCCAGTGTCCCCCACTGTTTTAACAGCCATAAGCTTTGGGAAAACCAGCCCAGGGCCGGCTCCAGGTGTTGAATGTCTCTTGCCAAAGTTTGGTTCCAAAATGGGCATGTGACCCAATTCTGGCCAGTGAGCCATGAGATTCAGCTGGGGTTTCCGCACATCTGAGAGAGGGTCTTGTTTTGCCCTTGGATTGAATTGTGTTTAGATGTGACACCTGGATCCTCTACAACCTCACAATAAGGATCAGACCAAGAATGGCCGAGTGAGATAATGAACAGAAAACCCAGGCCTTCCTGACATCGCTGTGAGGCAGACCCAAGC